AAAAAAAGCCTAGGAGGTGAGAGAGGAATGAAACAGAGGGTGATGGAGAGAGCAGAGAAAAAGAGGTGAAGGATGGACAGGTGGAGGAGTCGAGCATCCTGCCGTCTCTCAGCCAGGAGGATGAATGGAAAGCCTGCCTCTCTGCCTCCTTTTATATTTTCTCTTCCCCTGCTGCCTCGCTTTGGCTTTTACCCTGGCTCTTATATATCCTCAGCCTTCGCTTTGCCTTCTCCTCATCTCCAGCGGCATGAATATATTATTATCTACACAATGGGGCTCTGCTTATTGTTTATGAATTACCAGCCTTCCAAAGCCAACAAAGGCCCCTATTTTCATAGAAAACGCCATTTTCATTTCAGCTCCATTTGATTACCAGAGCAAAGAAAATAAAAAGGCCTCTCCGGTCGCAACGTCCCAGAGGGATTCATTCGTGCTTCTCTCGCTCATTCAACGCCACTGAAAAGGTTTCTTTATTGCTTTCTTTTCAGGGCCAACGTCAAATGGGCTTTTAGGAGTAAACCAATGACAAAAAAATTATTGCTTGGCTATTTTGTACAATAACAGGGCCGGGGGAAGAGAGCAGTCCTGTGCTGTCTTTGTCATCTTTGTTTCCCTTTTCTTTTGCTGCTTTCTGCTTCTGGAGAGGAAAATTGCAGAGGCTAGAAATGAATGGCAAGGCTTTGAAGGGATATAGAGAGAGAAAGGCGAGGGCGACACAATGCAACAATACAAGTCAAATCGAAATGATCACTAGCTATTGAACACAGTGCAGAGAGACAGAGAGGCACAGTGCAGCTCCAGAGGACTGCGGATGTGCGGGTTCCTTTAACAAAACAGACACCTGTTGGTTCCATGTCCAAAAACAATTCAACCCCATTGACTCTTTCTTTTTCCATTCACAATGGGGCTGTTGATTCCACCTCAGGAGCTCTAGATACAGGTGCACAGTTCAGATCTCAGGTGCTGGGGCTGATTTTCACATTTATCACACAGAAAAGCCTAAAAGTCTCTCCAAGCCACTTTTATCTTTCAGGTACTACTGAGACAAAACTTGTTTTCAGGGTAAAACCAGCTGCAGATTTCCCATTATTTACATCAAGCACACTCATATTCTTGAACAAACAAGGCCAACTTCCTCTTACAAAAGATAAGCTGAATTATAAGCAATAAAGCCCTTACTCAGATCGGTACACTTAGTGGTTTTCGTGCTACAATAGCTTATAGTGGCTAATGTTAGCCAACACAGAGCTGTTAGTATGTCACAAACAATGAATCACAAAAATAACAACAAGAGTCGGTAAACACACCACAACTCATCATGTGGCCTAAGTCAAGTTGCCTAATTATGTCTTGATCAATTTACATCTGGTATTAACATGTGAACACAGTGGTGCAGGTGTGAACGCGCACAGGACACCTTTCACCTGGAGCACAAACAAATTGATGAAAGCAGTCTGTAATCAACCTAAAATGTGCCTCTTGTTCACTTCAGTGAGAAAGCATGATACCTATTGGCTTTCCGCTGTGAAGCGAGTTTTTTAATTTGAAGCTCTCCTTTGTCCAGCCAGATAGACAGAGAGAGTGAGACTGAGCTCTAAATCAGGAAACACTAGTTATGCATATTCTTGTGAAATTATTCAAGCAGCAGAGGAGGAGGGATGCTGTGGTGGTTACAAGAAAAAGAATGTACAAGTGAATGACAAAGCTGCACAGTTTACAAGTTATTGAATGCTGCTGTCAGCCCCTAAACCATTCTCCTATGGTTATGTCCTTGTCTGGCAGCATTGTTTTGCAACAGCACATGGCAAATTTGACGTGGCAAAATGCCATGAAAAGAGAATCTTCTCCACAACTTGAAAGGAGACCTACAGTAACTTTGCCTCTGCACATGATCTCATGTACACCAGGCAAGAAGCTACAGACAAGCATTCCTCTGCAGACCAACCAGCTCTAACCACAAAGTGGACAATAAGGAGAATGCCTATTAACAGCTTGAATAAATCCACATGCACCTTCATCCTCTTTATTATCCAGATAATGTATAAGAGCATCACTCATTGCCAAAGGGATTGCACATCTCACCTTAAACACTGATGATATCCTTGCTGATCTCATATGCAATGAGAAAGAGGAAACAGGCTTAGATTTCAACAGAGATAGATGGAAAATGAAAGGAAAATCCTGAATAAATGATCAGTCTCTTCCAGGATCCACAGGACACAAGGGGCCACTGAATGGTTTGGTGAGGATGAAGATGATGTGACTCATATGTTGTGACCTTCACAGTCACCATATCTAAACCCAGTTGAAACCTCATGGGAGATTTTGGATCTCCAGTAGACTTCAGACAGTCAATGTGCACTGAAGCTGTTCCGGTGACCCAGCACTTTACTGAGACAGCTTGTGTTGGGTCTTCCTTTCATTTGTCACCTGTCTGCATGTTTGGGAAGCAATTATCACACTTACACTGAGTGAGTACTGAACCAGTTACCTGATGTTAACTGCAACTGCACAACTTGAACTCAAGCCTGCATTTGTTACATCAGCACTGAGTATAACAGGGTAAAAACTATTTTCCTCACGCTGACTGTGGAAGATGCTCTTTCATCTTATGCTTTGCTTCCTTTTTGTCCTCTTGGATGAATATTTGGCTGGAGACAAAAGGTGAACCAATCAATTATTCCTTTTGCAGGGCCCCGGTGCTGTTGTGAAAAGCGTTGACATTTGAGCTTTCCAGACGGCATCTGCAAATTTATATGCCTTCTATTGTGTAAGGCAGCCAGCCTTGCATCAAAGGCTGTAAAAGGCCTTGTCAATTTAGTAAGGACGGCACCACAAAGACTCCTTTCTCCTCTGTTATTATGGGAATAATGCTTTTCACCCTCATCCTGCCAAAACTCAAATTGGCCATGTGATATTATTGATAGCATTGATAACAGACATCTACCATGGCAGCCATCAAACTGTCAATAATGTCTTATGAAACAATCACAATTTCAGCAACAGCTATCCTTTACAGAGGCTTTGCAGTGTCTACATATGTACAGTAGGTGTCTCTCGAACATAACAGAGCTGCCTGAAACCGGTGATACTGGACACCATGACATGATATTACTAATCCAATGAATCAATCATGTTTCCCTGATGGAACCTATACTGATCCTATACTTTAAGCCCATTGACTGAATCAAATCTGTTTGCTCACTCCTACTGGCTACATATTTTATGAACACTGCTGCGTTATATGCCCATAGTTCACCTTTTTACAAGGGTAACTGAATAGGAAAGTGAACTGTGGCGTGCTGAGAAATGATTACACGCTAACACACTGTGGTCCTGCAGGGTAACAACCTATGGTGGCCAACCTCAACCAAAAACAAAGCACCATTCTCAAATGTCTGGCTATGCTCAGCTCCACTTCACTTTCAGGTAAATCTCAGTGGTTTAGAGTTTTAGACATTCTTGTTTATACTCTCAGCAGACAGACACTCATGTATGTAACTGGGGAAGATAAAATATAGAGACACCTCTGGATGTAGTCCAATGCAACGCCACCTTTAACTATGACCTCAATAATAAACATAGTTGAATTTATACATTTATGACAATTTCACCAAACACTGAAACATTCTGAGCTTCATAAACACAGATGTTAAGGTGAAAGTGTTGCATTGAACTGCATACAGTTGTACAGGTGTACCTAATAAAGTGGCTGAGTGTAGGTTTTCTATCCGACTTGAACCTATAAAACAGAAGTTGTTGCCAACATGAGCAGTGCTTTAATACCAATTCTATTTTGTTATAAAAATCAAACTAAGTGCTCAGTGGTTCAGTCATTCATATCATTAATTAATACAGAAAAGACTGAACACTAGAAATGTTTACAAATCTTAAAACCTTACAGCATGGTCACATAAAAGGTCTCATGCATCAAAATACTTGACCAGTACTGCAGTTGTGCTCATTGCCCTTCATTCTGCACAAAAACAAAACAAGGATTTCTACATTCTCAGAAGCAGCTAAAAGAACAGCACAGCCCATAAACAATCACAATCTACAGGTGACTGAACAACCAGCATCCTACATGTTCATTCAGATAAATAGGAAATAGCTCATGATCTCTGTGGGATCACATGCTCAGCAACACACAGCATCAACAGGAACACAACAAGACTTAAAGAGACAGATAGACATGTCCCACTGCGGGACATATAACCAGCAGGCAAATAAGTGTAACAATTTGAAAGTGTAATAATTTGACTTACATTTGTTGTCCGAGTCCAGAAGGTCTCCTTTCTCTCATGGAAACTAAACATCTGTCAGGTTTAATATTCCGCTGTAACTGCGGTTGTTTTGACAATCACTGCACTTGTAACTTGTTTCCTCTCTCCATTGCGTCTAACGTCACATTAGCACCATGATAAAACTGCGTTAAGGTCGGTTAATTCTCACGGTTGCTTACTTTAACTAAATTAACGTCATTTTACATCCGTGTCTGTAAAAAAAAAATGACAATTCACATTTTTACAGTTTTTTTAGCGAAGAGTCCGTGCACAGCTCCCGCACAGTAGCGCAAAAGTTTTTAATCAAGGGACAACATTCACACGGTGTGGCATCCTAAGGGTGCAATTCCTCTGTTTGACCACATAGGCAGAATAACCTCAGTCCGCCGTTACAATCCAGAGAGGCGCTGTTTCACCTATTAGTGAAAACTATACATAATGGGATCACAGGTGTTGAGCCAAAAAGTGTATTTCCTATGCCTAACGTTCTCCTCATATATAATACTTGAAACCTTCAGTTTAGTTACTTGCTACCATATAAAATAAAATAATTCCAACCCCCGCCCCGCAATCATTCTACAGAGTCAGTATATATTTCCTGCTTTGTGCTGTAGACTACAAACACTTCATGTTACTCAATACTGGTATAGTATAATACCTTAAATCTGCAGTGAGATATACTGTATATCTATTGGAGATGGACAACCAAGTGTGAGTTTGATTCAGCAATTTATTCACAGACAAACAGGTGAAATAAATAGAGGGGGGTGATTCTTGTAACTACTGTAATCATCTTCATCACTAACATTTGACCCACATTTACACCAGTCACTTTCAGTTAAATACATTAGTTAGAGTTGACTGACATACTGTATTATGTAGCTTACATTAGTGTGATTTTATTTTCAGCGAAGTTCATTTGTAGATGAAGTCATTAACCTTTACTAAAGGGATTTTTTTCTCCCCATGGCACGTTTACTGATGCTCAGTAGAAATATGCAGCTTTTCTGTACAAATTACCTGTAGTGTGTTCAGTCAGTATTCCAAACCAGAACCAGCTAACAGTAAAAACACAATCACAAATATAAAAATAAGAAACCATTCTACAATAGGTTGCATATTTACTTTGTAAAAAAAAAAAGCATTTTTCAGTGTTGTATTGCTTGGACTTGAAAAGTCACTGAGCTGACTCACGTCTTCTAAAAAAAAACGAACTACAAATGAAGATGAATATTGAAGGTCCAGGAGCAGGACCACACCTTAACACAAACCTTTTACTGCAAGCTGCAAAGTGCTTTAGTTTCTCATTAACCCACCCACTTCTGCCTTAATCTTTCTCTGTCCTCTTCTCTACCTTTCTGCCCTCCTGTATCTCTCCTTTAAAGCCATACAAATTCACCGGAAGCCTTCCCCCAAGATGCCCTAACAGCTACCAAGCAGCATCAGCCCAAGTCACACACAAGCACATCTCACCCTCATCAACATCAACTATAGGAGTGATCCTGACTAGTGAAATGAACTGTGATGGTATCTGTACATCATTTCAGTGACAGTCTCTTCCTATGAAACCCATTGGCTCAGTATCAGATCAGAGCAGTTTGCTATTTTCAGTTTCAGTGAGAAAGTTGATTCACATAATGAAATATATAAACTAATGTGTTGTTCTTATTCATGCACCAGAGCAGTCAATGAAATAAAAGTACATGATAAAAAGTGATTCTTTTGTCACTGCTCCAGAGAAGGCAGTTTGTAAAACAGCATGACAGGAAATGATGTCATCAAACTGACCAGCTAATTTGGCTTCATAGTTTTACGGTCAGTTGGGGTGGCAGTCCATTTCTCTTGGTCCAGGTTGGTGCACAGGTACCTCTGAAGGTCAAAGCAATGTGGAAAGGAACGGTGAATAGTGTGATGAAGTGTTGAACAACCGTTCATAAGTTGTTTGGTCATTTAAAATAAAAAAAAGCCTGGTCTCTTCCATGATGATAAGATACTTATTTGTCTCAGAGGTTAGTCTCGTCCCATGTTGGGTCATTCATGTTCTTCAGGACTCTCCTGACAATCCTCTCCAACTCTTTCCTGGATCGCTGCTCCTCCTCCAGTGTCCTCTTCATCCTCTTGTTATCCTGCAGGAAAAGAGGGAGTGAGATGAAGACAGAAGGGAAGAAAGAGGAGAGATGTCTGGACTAATAAGAGGTAGTGAGGCTGAGTAGTGACAGCCAGAGGGACTAAAACAGAAACTCTAAAGAGTCACAACTGTGTGCCACCTGAGGCCTTAAACATACATGTAAACACATGCCACATGTATTAATTAAAAATAATAATGTTTGAGGGACAGTGCTGATACTAAAAGTCCAGATTAGTAATATACTTAACTGCAGACTCACCTGTTTGAGTTCCTGGACCTCATCTTTCAGGCTGTACACAGTGTCCACTAGACTCCTGCAGGAACAGAACAGCTCTACAACTGGACAGCCTAAACACCACTGACTGACATCATCTTTTCCTCATTGTCACACAGTTTTAAATGTATTTTTTCATGCTTACTACATTTTGTTTAGTTTAGCTCATATTATTAAACTATAAACATCACACGTAACACATGTTCTCTCTCCTCTCTCACCTCTCCTCCACTACAGTTTGTCCATTGCTCCTGGTTTCCTCCACTATGATCTTCTCCTCCTCTGGAAACAACATGGGCACATCTTTCCGGCTGGAGCCTGGTTAAACATTGTCAGTGCGAGTTATTAATCCTGCATCACACAAAATATGACAAATGCACAAACACACACACATGCACAGAAGCATGCTATATCATTTCAAGTGGTGAACACAGAATTAAAGAAGAATGACAGCATTACAGGTTAATCTGGATACAGGAGTGGTAAGCATCATTTTTAATTAATAAGAAAAGAAAAATGTACCTGAATGATGGGGTCAGGGGTCAAGTTCTAGTTATAGTGCAGTTTGTATTCACTCTGAATGCAACAAAAAAGGCTGCATGGTTTGATAAAATCACAAAGGTAGATTAGACACCCAAGTGATATATGACCTGTTGCACCACAACAGAGGGAAGTGGGGCACACTTGCTGCTTCAGCCTGTACATGTGGTTGCACTGCCTGCATATGATAAAATGGGTACCAAAACTGTTTTCCAATGGAGAAAGCTTTATGCCCAAGAATCAAAACAACAATAAAAAAAAGTTTAGAGCTGGATTTAGTCATCAGAAAATGAACGTGCAGCTTCTGAAATGTGATTTATTTGATGTCCTTGCTCTTTTTTTATAATGATAAAGAATACCTTTGGGCTTTGGGGTATACGTATAAAAAAGTCACCATCACCTCTATGATGGGCAGATTGCACTATTTGCTGACATGTTATGAACCAAACCATTACTCAGCTAGTCTAAATAAATACTCTATAGATTAGTGAATAATGTTCTAGCCCTACACAAGTAGCTCAAGGTGAAAGCTTAGAAAGTGACAATGCTCAAAGAGGATTTCTTATATTAGAAAATGTCCAATACTTTTCAACATCATTGGTGCCATTATATGGACTGTATTTTATATAGTGCTTTCTCACAGTGTGTTGCACTGGCCAAAGCGCTTTACAGAAGATCATACACCATTCACGACAGGCTGCCATGCACCGGCGCTAGTCTAGCAATTCGGGGTTCAGTGTCTTGCTCAGGGACACTTAGCGGGGAGACCGGGAGTCGAACCACCAACTCAGGAGACGACTGCCCTACCTCATGAGCCACAGCCACCCCATATATATGACTGGCTCACTGCTTGTTTTGTTTGCATGCATTAAATATTCTCTTCTATGGGGTATAACCTTCCTGAAGCTACTGTATCCTAATGGGAATGCATACAGGCTTGCACATAAAGACTACTACTACTAATTATGCTAAATATAGCTACAAACATTACATATGGACATACACACAGCAGGTTAAATATCTGGGCTGATATACAGATGTTGTAAACCAGCTGTCTGTAGTTTGTGAAACCAGTATCTTACGAGAAAATGAGGCTGTCCTGTAACTATGGGCGGTCCAGATACTGTCATAATCCGAGTCCTCTGATTGGTCAGAACAAGGTGGGTTGACGGTAAGGCTGGTGTCAGCAAGCACATGGTTGTGCATGAGGTCAGTCCCTTGCCAGGCTGTGTCAGTAGATGGGGTTTGGGACAAATCAAATTGAATGTCAGGGGAATGAGCACAACCCACATTGATTAAAGGGTTGGGGGTGGACAAAATATTGCAAAAAGTTTGGGAAATATGTTTTAAACATAAATATGAAATGCCACCAGAAATAGAAGGGAAAGTATGTGTGGGATAAAAGATTAAATTAAATGAAACAAGAGGAAGGTTAAAACCAAACAATGGATGAAGTAGGTAATGAAAAAACAGTGATTGGAGGAAGAGAAAAGCATTGGAATGAAGAGAAGATATGAACAAAGAGGAGAGAGAAAAACAGTTACAGCTGGAAGCAGAGAAAAACAGTGGTCAATAATAAGACAGGAATGTGTGAGCATAACCATGGTTAAGCATGAAAATACTGATGCGTGTGGACTTACTGGAGTTGAGAGTCTGTCGGGTCTTGGCGCTCGTACAGTAGGCCTCAATCACTTTCAGAATCTGAGCGTCCTCCTCTAGAGCCGCTGTGCCTGAAAGGCAGGGCCAGGGCAGAAGGACAGGTGAGTCCAACAGACGACATTCAGCTGCACAGCTTCTTACATCCATATACAGCTTCGGCAACAATGAGACTCAGCTGACTACAACTAACTACAGCTCAGGCAGGAAGCACCTGCCTTTACTTATAGTCTTCAGGCCCACTCCACCAAACCTACAAACAGCTTCATCCTCCAGGCTGTGAGGATGCTGAACGCTGTCCATTACCTCACCCTCTGCCCCTGGACCATAACCCACCACAGAACATAAAAAGTCATAAAAAAGACTACCCCTGCTGTTTGCACAAACTCAATACATTCCCCATTGTTATATTACATGTAAATCTGCTGCTGATTGTTCTTTTTACCATCATATCTACTGCTGTTGGTCATTTGCACTGCTGTCCATGTACATTTCATAAAATATTATGCATTCCATCACCAACACCACTGATGATGTTGACCACATGACAATCTTATTGTTATTATTTGCACTATGTCCACTGTTTGCACATGGCTTTGAGTTTCATCATAGTCTATTAGGTTGTACCATCTAGTTTATCCTTATTACTTGAATTCAGTTTTCATATTCTGTTTATTCTGTGTTTATTCTACTTTTATTCTATTTTAATTTCTTAAATGGTATGGGCATTCAATATTAGGTGAGAGAGAAACAGTATTTTGATTTTTCTGTATGTCCTGCACATATAATGAATTGACAATATTAATCTTTGATCTTGATCTTATTTTAGTGGAAGTGATTATAATACAGTTTAAAGCCTGGGGTTCTACTGTGTAAGTTAAATTTTTTTGGTAAATATTTGGAGTATTTTAATGTATAAATATGAGGTAAATGTATTAAATCAAACAAGATTAGAATGAGCCGGCTGCTGACTGTCCAGTGTCTGAAGTGAGGTTAATCAAACGCTACCAGTTTCATTAAAGGCTGACATGACCCATACAGCTAAACAAATCAAACACTGATTATCTGTGGCTGTCAACTTACTCTTTCTGGCAGTGAAGTCCTCTTCTGAAGGTTTCCTCTCTGGCTTCCTTTTAGGGAGGAGCTTTTTCATGTTCTTGGGACTCTTACTCATATCCTACAAAGAGACATAAATACTGTATGTATACTGAAAAAGTAAATGTTATTCCAATTTAACAATAAATTGTTACACATTATTTTGTTATGACAGCGAAGATGAAGTGAATTTAGCAGCTAAAAACATCTTGGAGATCCCCAGAATCCATTTAGTACAGCATTGGTCAGCACCTCCTTGTAGCAGAGAGCAGCGGAGGGCCGGAGTGGAGGCGCAGGCCGAAGGCAGCTCAGGCTCCAGGGTTTAGGGGTACTTGGTGGCTCCAGGGGCCGCCACACTGGGGTGCTACTGTGTGCCATCCCATAGGAGGAGAGATGGGGAAGGGTGTGGTAGGTGTGTCCACTGCTCCCTCCACATGACTCAGAGTGTCTGGAAGGAGTCACGGGATGAGATGGCAACTGGGGGAGGAGAGGAGAGGTTAAAGAAAGGATGAGGTGAATAAAGTAGTAGATAATGCTTAACTGACATTTGACTTTTTTTTTTTGAAAACACAGACACCTACTGTGTGACAGATAGACTGAGGCTTGTGGGAGTGTCTGTGTGCAGTTGGAGTGTGTGTGTGTTTTGTGAGAAGGTCCAGCCAGTCCTGTAGCTCGCACTGACTGTTGCAGGCCACCTGTATCCGCTCACACTGGCCACCTGCACAACAACACACACAACCAAATGTGTTAATGTGCAGACAAGCAGGCATAGGTCCCACAGACAAACCACAGCTGTTTCATAACGAAAGATATACAAGCACATGTTTGCCCGGCTGCACCTGCCTCTCTCACTTCTCTCCCTCTATTTTAGCTCCCTTACCCCTGATTTCTTTATCTGACACACCTGCTTCACGTCCCCTCAATCACCACCAGCTGCACCTGATTAGTTTCTTCCTATTTATACCGTGCTCATCGTCCACTTCCCTGCCAGTTCTTTCAACACACAAGCCCGTTTCTATGCTGATCTATTGTTTTTGTCTACTATATGTATTTGCTCACACTCTTCATCCCAGCTCCGTTCCTGTCTTGTGCCCTGTGTCTTATATTCCCAACCGCTATCGCTCCTTCGGACCACGGACCTCCTCAACTCCACATCACTCCACTACGCAGGTCGATGCACAGTCTCCCATTAACTGTTTCTGTGACTTTGTCCCCTCAGCAACCAACCACCACGACCAGTCCAGGAGTGAATCCTAGCGTCCGCAGCCCGGCCTCTTCCTTATCAATCCACCACTAACTGTATGTTTTCCAGGACTGCCGCTCGACACCCGGTTCTGCTCCATATTCCTTCACCTGGTTGTACACGTATTTTCACTGTAAATAAACAGAGCACTTCTTGCACCGAAGTCAGCTACCTGAGTCCGTCATTTTTTACTCGCTCACCTTCCTACCAGAGCGTTTCTAACACATGCTTTGGCAAAAGGCCTTTCTATTTGTACTTGCAGTAAGCTAGTAGTTTCTGACATCTCCCATTTCTAATGGTTGAGAAATACCCCTTACTCTAAAAACCACATGACACCGACATGGTTCAGCTGACATCAGTAGGATCTACTGCTAAATGACAAAGATGGCTGACCGGATATTTCAAAAGCATTCCTCAGGCTGTCTCCATCTTCTATTCTGGAGATGAGCATTCCTGATAGTGGCATCCTCCCCTACAGGAACACGTAGAAAAATATGCAGGGTTAGTCAAAGGACTTTTTGATAAGTTCATCTTTTGAGGATCATTTGAGTTTCATCTGGTACAACACATACCTGATAGATGAATCCACTCATTCTCAGGCTGGCTGATAGTATGATCAAAGTGTGAGGGAAGAGGACGAGGTAGCGTTCATTTGACTCCTGACAGACAAAGTACAGTTTATGTACTCTATTGTAGTTGCTCAAACTCAGCAGTCTTGTGTGTTAATTTTACATCTGAATGCAACAGAGTATGTTCACATGATGCCTATTTGTAACAGTTTGTCTGAAGCCTCCTCTAGGTCAAGGTTATTTTTATTGCCACCTAGTAGTTTGAAGGCTGTAGTTTAAATTTCTCTTTTGATGGGTACCTGACAGTTCTGTGTGTGGACTGTGGCTTGGGACATGTGGAGAACAGGGCCAAGGGTTCTGATGTCATCACCCTCCCAGTTTCTGATTGGCTCTGTTAAAATCTGCAACTCCAGGTCCTTCTTCTTCCTCACCTCCTGGCACTGAACCTGAACACGCACACACACAGAACCAAGCAGGACACAAAGGCACAAAAAGCCTGTGATTGTGTTCTAATCAACGCAGTGTAGGTTGTTAGCTGGAGGTCCTTCTTCTTCCTCACCTCCTGGCACTGAACCTGAACATGCACACACACAAAACCAAGCAGGACACAAAGGCAGAAAAAACCTGTGATTGTGTTCGAATCAACGCAGTGTAGGTTGTTAGCTGATAGATTACACATAAAGGTCAGGAAGAAGAAGAAATTAAACATAAGCCACTGTTTGTAATCTGTCAAAAAAGCAACACCTCCCTCTGTGAGCACAAATGTCTTTACACAGTCTTTAAGTAGGGTTTATTCAGGAATTCCTTATCTCTAGACTACATTGCTAGGAATCAGTACAGTGGCCCGTAGGGGCAAGGCACATACAAAAGTGAAAGTACAAAGTTTTTATTTTGGCTATTTTGGGAGTCCACTCTAATGCTTTTTAAGTGTTAAATGAGTGGCACCACATGGCACAGTAACTGTGAAACTGAAGAATACTTCATATTTAAGACTATTCATCTTAAAGCATTAATAAAGACATAATTTTGATAGAAACAGTTATAATACCGTTACAGATAGATGATCGTGTGTGTGTGTCTTACTGTGAGGCTTTTGAAGGCCACCATAGAAGCCTGGAGATCGGCTCTGTCAGGGTGTTGCTCCTAAGAGGACAGAACATATTAAACACTAAAACACAGGCAAAAGAGCCTCAGCTTCACTGACTTGTTCAGAAGGAAAAAAAAAACACTACTCATTCGCCTATTATCACTCAAGACGATATCAACAGGTAGAGAGATTCAGGGCTAACCTCCATGTGTCTGTCTAGCTCTTTCAGCAATGCTGGGTATCTCTCCAATCTGGTGAACGGTTTACTCAGACTAGTGGTCAGAGTGAGGATCCCAGGGGTAGATGCCCCCTTCGACTCCATGTACTCCCCCAGCTCTTCACTATGAGGAACATGTATGGAAAATTTGAAACAAACATCTTTATTTTCTCTTCAGAGCACAAAGCTTAATTGTGTGGTTCACCTGCATGCACACACATTGCACTCTGCCTGTACCTGTGTTGTGTGAGGACATGGACAGCTGATGGGTGGTTGGAGCAGTATGCTACATAGATGATCTTCATTTGGGGCATCACATTGAGGAAGAAGGCCCCGATCCTCTGCTGGCTCTCTGGCACTCTGCACAGACAAATGTCATGTTAGACTGGATGCCAACTGCCAACTGTACAAACTAATACTGGATAGTAATATGGGGCATCAGCCAGTGCTCATAATGTGTAGAATTCATAAAGTATATTAGGAATACAGAGGAAAATCTAGCTGGAAAACAACATCGACAATAAGGCAGCATTTAAGACCATCACTATCTCAATATTTGGTCAGTTGTGTGTTTGTTAATAAACTTTTTTAATTACATAAACAGACACTTGTTGTCTATTGTACTGCACTTACAAAGAAACTATGTTGCTTCACTCTACCACTAGACGCCTACATAAAGCTTCAGTCAGGCCAAATGGTGGTGTGAGCCTCATTTTGCCTGCACCCTGCTGTTTTGGAGTAAATCTTGAGGAATGCATTGATAGTTAAACAAGAAAAATGATGATTGATTACAGAAAAAATTCACAATTTATTTTCTCTAAGTTAATGCCAGCTAACTGATTAATCAACTAACTGTTTCAGTTTAACTAAGCATTCTCTCACAGTGAAAATACTACTGTATTAATAACTGCAATAAAATGTAACAGCCACTAATGTTTAATGTGTTTATAATAAACTGTTAATACTAAAAAGCTGACATTCATAGATATTACAGCAATCCACAAAGAAAGAGCACACAAAATAAGGTGATGTCCTGACTTTGTATGATCCTCCAAGGACTGAACCAACATCTGCTGGAAGGTTGAGATCTCCTCCAGATTTCCCTGAATACAGCTGATGTCAAGATTGCTGAGTCTGCAAATCAGAGAAGAAAGGAATCATCGTTTAACTTGAAAGTGCTCTTTGGTCCTAACTGATAAATATGGTGCAGTATAGGTTTATATATTTGTGTACTAATTACAAAGTTGGTGAATAAAGATAAAACCTCAAACAGACTGGTATTTTGTCATGACATTCAGAACTATTACCATGAATCTATATATCAAAAATAATTTCAAGAGGGAAATCAGTTCCTGTCTGTATGGCATTCAATGAAAATGGATCATATTGTATTTAAAAAGTCAGCTGTGGGTGACCCTGACATTTTCAATAAAAGGCTGGTATAGATAAATCACTATACTTGCCAAGTTTAAATAGTACAGTGGGATATCAATTAATGTATAAATGTGTAATGTATGTATAAGTGTGGCACAGTGCACATATGATATAGTTCATGTGTGCTCCTACAGTATATTCTGTGAAAATTAGACAGTAGGGATGCTGGTGTGTGCACCTCTAGAACCTGACCTTGTTGAATAAAACAATAAAAGGTTTAAAAATAGCTGTACTTGTCTGTGGGGTGCAGTGAGCGCAGGTATGAGCCCAGAAGACTCTGTAGCTCTCTGGAATATTCAGCCTCTGCTTCCAGGATGTTCTGTAGCACCTGACAGAGACATGACCCACAAACACATACTGATGTTAATATTATGTACAGATTGATATAATGTAAAGGTGAGAGAAGTTTTACATGACAATAATGTATTTGTTTGCCCCTGACAGTAACTATTCCTGTAACATCTATTTGCATGTGGGTCCCATGTTTTCCTGTAATTTCAGAGAAAAGAAGTGATATTTAACTGCAAATTCACAGTTTCCTACATGCCAACTGTCTATAACCATCTGTTTTCTGTATTCTGTTAGGAACACATTTTGTGGAAGTAAGACATGACACAAACACAACACTCTTGCAGGTGAAAACTACACAAAGCAGTTGGTTTTTCACTGGGACATGGATTCAGTAATAAGCTAATGGAAGGAGATATCAGAGTCTGTGGGAGCTGTGACACTGGCTCAAGTAGCTTTCAGCAGGTCCGATTCCACAGGCTAACTGGCTAATCTCTCCACAACGTCAGAAACCTCACAGGAATAAGATTTCTGCTAAGGAATTGTAACATTTTAGACAAGAAACACAAGGGGCTGTGTGTCCCCTCAGGTCAAGAGACAGTAAAAATGTGACTGCAATTCAAGCAACTCCAATTGTTTATCTATAATAAAATATAATGTATATACTTTTATTAAAAGTGACTTGTACAGAGAGGACAGAGACAGGATGCCTGGGCAGGCGCTGGCAACAAGACCACTTGTATTTTCTTCTGAAACAAAAGCATGGATTTTTTTACACACACACAGAAACAACCTAAAGCCTGCATCCTCCACTAATGCAAGCATCTGTCTTAAAGCTCTGGGAGGCTCTTTTGGAAGGAGAACAACATTTTTTATTTATAACTTTTTGCATTTCTGTCTGGGAACAGTTTTGACTTCAGGCAGGGTCAGTGTGTGTGTGTGTGTGTGTGTGAGAGAGAGACTCAGGTACTCAGGTAAGACGAACTGTCTAGAGACAGTGGCAGCTTGTCATACTATTAAAACACATATACACACACTGACAGGAGCAAACCCTGGGGCAAGGCTGCCCCAGAAACCACTGGATTGGAAAAAATAACCTACATTACATCTGCTGCACTTTCACACACTGAAGACACATGCAGATGCTCCACAATTCACCACATGCTTATGCACACAAAGACCCAGCTACACAACCATTAATTAGATGTGAGGATGAAGAATTATCCATTTTAACAGTCTACTAATGGAGACGCATGTGACAAACATCCATTAACTGAATTCACACCAGCAGTCTAACTTACAGCAGGCGAGACAGAAAGCCAAGACAACGGAGATCATTTGTTTCATTTCTATGTGCTCAGGTCTTAAAAAATTCATTAGTTCCCACTGAATGTTAAACATTTGCCACAAAATCTCTAAGCGCTTCTGGAAACTGTGTGAAGTGGTAGATGTTCTTCCTTTCCTCTCAGTGCTCTCATCAGTATTTGGTAATCATAAGATAAGCACAGTATTAACACACAACCAGGAACGCAGACAGAGTTGCTTAGGATTGCGATGCTTACCACATTGTAGTAGGTCTTACTGATGATTGTGGCGTCAAAACCTTTGGGTGGACTTTTCAGTGTCCCAGACCTTGATTTGTCTGTTGTCTTATCTACAAAGAGAAGGACAGTTCAATGATCATTGGTAGGGAATTAAGAAAAAAACTATGTGTTTAAATACTGAATACAAATGTAATTGACTGCTAATATGAAATGGCGACTCCAGCTACACTCAGTTTACAGTTGCTCCTTTTTAAATCTTGGCTTGTGGGAGCTTGTTTAGTGATGTGTTTTATAGTTGGCTTGAATTAAATACAATGCCAAGCCACTTCAAGTTAAATTTAAGGTTGACAATTAAAATTAAAAGGAAATATGTTTTAATTTAAATGAAGTTAAAATTTGAATGTAACATTTTAAAAACACAATAGGATTTTCATAATGCTCTGGCCAGTGTTTATTTACCCGTTTGTAGAAAAAGCTGGTTAATGGGCATAAGCAGAGACAGCTGAACATTTAGGAACACAAACTTTATAAAAGTAACATCAACAAATCTTCCACGTTTTATTATGTTTCACTTGCACATTTCAGTAGAAAAATACCACGTCTCATGGTAGCTAAACTTTCATCCTGATCCAATATAGTACATAGAAAAAAATGAAGTTTCAACATTCTGCACTGCAGGGCAATGCTGTTGTCATTAAAGTATGTAGGAGAACCAGTGATTTAAAGCTTTAATTCACAGATTCCACAAAACCCTTTCACTGTCCTGGTCATTGTTATTTCAGCACTGCACTGCCAACAACACTCACATCCTGTCAGTTCACATTGTCCTTTGCAGACACTGCAATGCAAAAGACAAATATGCATTTTCTATATCATGACTAGCTCCCTATACTTTTTAGATCTATCTAGGGCTACATGAAGCTGAATCTGCTTTAATCTGGATGCTATGTAAAATAAACAGTCATGTCCCCCCTGGCTACATAACCTACAGCTCTACCTGATGATTCTGACAAAAGTTCTGCCTCAGTAACACTGATTTATATTACTAAACCCAGAACAGAGGTACACATGCAGCCCCTGAATCCATGCTGTTCACATGACAAACAGCTATCAGAAGTATGGGTCTCTCTGGTGTGAGCCTTCTCTCTCTCACATTAAGCAGCTCCCTGTGGCCAAATGAATTTACTGAAATTCCTCAGTGCACTGTTATCATGGTCCTTGCTTTCTGCTGTAAACTTTAAATCAGGAAGTTCCTTTCTATAAAGCTCTGGAACTTCCTGTCTTTGTGTGTGGAGCTTCCTTCCTTCTTCCCTACCTTCCCTCCTCAGAACTAAGCAACACAGTAAAGGGTATGGTTCTTACAAACACAGGGGGCAGCAGTTAACAGCCTAATTTCAATATTTGTCTTTCCAATAACATTATGTAAAGACCATCATTCCTAAGGTGTTAAATGAGAGAAAAAACTTGCAGATACTTTCAAAAACGATGCTAGTCAAACACAAACAGTATTTATCACACCTTTCAGGTAAAAAAAAAAACGTTTGTGAAAAACACAGAGATATAAATAAATAGAATTTTCTGATATATTTGGATTCTTGTTGTTTTAGACAGTGAACAAACTAAACAGTTGGGAAAAAATAATTGATAATGCCTCACAAATTCCTTCATCTTCTGAGTTTATTCAGTTACATAAAATAAACTAAAGTACATACAAACCCAAAATGAAGTTCCTTCTTACTAATTTAAGGATAAGGATAATCACCTTTACTGGCCAAGTATGTTACACACAAGGAATTTGTTTCCTGTACAGAACCGATGGCAGCCATCTGCAGTGCCACCTCAACCGACAGGGTTCAGTGTCTTGCCCAAGGACACTTCGACACGTGGACTGCCAGCACTGAGATTTGAACCTTCAACCAGGGAGACGACTGCTCTACCACCACACCACTGTCGCCTCCCTATTACATGCAACACTTCCCTTGCGTGTTGAAGAGTTTCATGTATGAGGAATTCAGACCTCAACTAATAAACACTGAATACAGTTCAGCACTCAGTTGTAATGTTTCATCAATAATTTGGCTAGTGTTCTTCCTTAAAACATCATACTACAAAAACAGCTCAGTAAGTTGTTATCAGCAAGAACAGACCTGCAGGATGAGTGCTTGTTTGTGCACATCTGTGTGTGTAGCTGTACTTCATGCAAATTCATATGGGAAGCTTTGGCTCTACAAGATGATATATAGTAGTATATGCTTTAAACCAGACAAGACAAGTGCAAGACTCATATGCAGGAAAGGTAACCTAGCCCCCAGCTGTGACCAAAACAAAGGAACTGTTCTGAAAAATAACAGGGAAATTAATGGTGAAGCAACACAACTGCACCCACCGCTTCCTTTTAGCTCCCGTACATAGTTACTGGGGAACCATCCAGTCTTGCCATTGAGCGAGCCTTCCCACCAGCCCCCTTCCTCCTGCCTGCTCACACTAATGATGTCGCCCTTAGAGAAAGAGAGTTCATCCTCATTGGTCTGCTGGAAAGGAAAGCGTGCCTTGACCAGAAACTGGCCACACCCACTGCCTTCTGACATGTCCTGGGAAAGAGGAGAGCAAGACAAACAGAATCTGATATATAGTAACTGAAATATAAGCTCTGGTCAGAGAGGAACAGCCACTGTACAAGAGCAGGACTCCAGAGGATGGATATCTGACTTGTTTACTGTCATTTCTTAGGAGTTATGTTATTTTCACTGTTGTTGTTACTCACCAAGCTGCGGTACTGAGGCTGAAGCAGTTTAGAGGACCGACTCTGGGTGTTCAGGGAGTCAAAGGACTTGATCCTCAACGTTGAGGAGTGTGGCACACACACACTGTCTCCAGAACCTCCTAAGACTGCACTTACACAATGATCCAATATATATATTAGAACTATTTCAATGATAACAATATGAAAAAACATAAACATATAAACACACATTTATAGAGCACTACAGAACAAAAAGTAAGGTGGAGGAAAATGAATGGGAAAAAAATCCTACAAAATAAAAACTGCAATAATGAAACATGTGCCCTAAAAAAAGAAAATACACATTCCAAACATACACATAGAAATAAACACAATAATCTTACCTTCAGTAGCTTTGTTAAGGGCAACCAAAGAGTTTAAGACCTTGGGGAAGTTCAGACCCTGCAGCAGGTCAATGGCCTCAAAAGGCTAAAGGAGAAAAATGAAAAAATACACAATATATTTTAGACCAGCAATAAAGCATTGAGGGGTTTGAGGCAGAAGAGGGAAGAAAAAAATGTGCATGCATTCATAATAAATTTGTAAAACTGACATCAACAAGGACACAAAGCTGCATTCCTGACATTTCCATGCATGTGCTGTATCTCACACAGAGATGGGGTGTTAAATAGGAAGAGATCTACAGTATGGCCTCCAGACAGCTAGTAATCATAAAACATGGATCAACAAGGTTTACTGAAGTTATCATATTTTTGGAAAATACTGGTTTTGATCCTTTAAAACACCCTCTTGTTATTTATCTTACCTGTGTAATAAATCTCATTATGACTTAAATTGCAGGTGATTAATGGGGTTTACATCCCTGTTCCAACTGGGGTCTGAAGCGGGATTACTCAGTCCCCCCTGAGCTCCACCTTGTACTCTCCCCATCACACACACACACACACACAGCCATAATAAAAATACCTCTGAAGCCCCTAAGCTTGTGTATACCACACACTGTCAGACTTACACTTTCCCAAGGTGTGAAGCAGGAACAATCTGGTTTGCAAAAGTCAAAACTGAAATGGTGTGATATGTTAACAGTTTAATTTACACTTAAACTATTTCATGCTGAGAACAGCAAAAAATAAGCTAATTCTAGGTTTCTTTACATATTAAGATTAGTACACAGGCTGATTAGTAGTCAAAGCAGTATAGACCCAATGGTTAATGCACACTTTCACCTCTCCCACTGGCATTACAGTTGCACGTGCACACATTTGATGTATTAACGGTAGCTGGTGGTCCTTCCAGGTATTAAGATACTAGTATAACAGCTCAATGGACTTAATGAATACGTAAATCTGACACTGAGAACCACATATACAGTAGAATGTCAGAAACAAATAAAGGCCTTATATTTCACTAATGGAACAAAGTGTGTTTGATACTGAAATATTGAACAGCAATTTATTGATTCCTGGAAGAATGTGATAGATTTTGTGTCATTATATTTTTACTTATCATTAAGTGAAGAATGATTACAACAAGCCCTGTAATTGTTGATCTTCTTTGAACAAATTACTGTAATTTTACTGCACACTATTGTGCTTTGAGAACTGTTTTCATTAAATTTGTGTTTCCTTAGAGATACAACATTTTATGTGACTTGATATAAATAACAATAACAATAAACATAACAATAACAATAATAATATCACATATTAAAGCGCATAAACCTCAGTCAAGGCACATCACTGTCCCCATTACATCTACATTACAAGAGGTACTGAGACAGACAGCATCCTTAAAATAAACACCTGACTGTTCAATCAACTTGCCTGATATTAGAAAGCACTTGATTTACTGTTGCAGAGAAGGCACTCTAAATGCACAAAATCAATATCCCACATGATTATTAATAGCAAAGTCAAATGTATGATTTCTTATTATTACTGTTCTCCGATTAATTGTGCAGCTGTGGTTAATCTGGGAGTCAGAATTCATGCACATTCAGTCTTGTCATCCACTCTGTAATCCTCCTCTATTGGAAAGACAGTCTGGCTCGTCCTCTGCTTGTCCCATGACAGTCTGGGAGAATTACTCCACTGATGTCAGTCAGTCAGGCTGCTGGTAATGGAGCCCTTGGCTTCCAGCATCATGGCTGACATGCCTTTAATCAACCTGATTGGAAAATCCAACGACTGCCTGGTGTATTGCATTACATCAGCCTACCCAGTTCCTCTCCTCCATTTCATCTTTTCATACACTGCTCCTTTACCATGGATTCAAGTTTTTTTAAAGCCCATCCTCCTTGTCAAAATAATTTTCCAAGTACGAGACAAAACCTTGTTATAGGTCTGCAGCCCAGAACTACTGTGTTCTCTGATCTGCTCTTTTGCATTATGAAGATACAATGGCTGTTTCCATGGCAGAGATCAGTAGTGCATGTATGTGCTCCGTAGCCCTTTCTTCACACCCACTGTAGGCCAGTATATAACCTGGCTTGACCCACTGTTGTGCACGGACAGACATGCGCACACCCTAGAATGTGCTTTTGAACTCTGATAACAGATATTTAGATTGTTTTTTTAAATAATTTTAATATTGCCAACTTCACATTTGCTGATTTCTGTGCAAAACAAAACTGCAAAACTGTTTATCACAACAGGAAAACCTCTGAGAGAACATCCAGAACACAATAATCACCAATAATAACATGAACACATATCTTCATGATCAATAAATGATATGATGATAGTCTTGCTAAACTGTCTCATCAGAATCAGAACACCAATTAACTTGACTACACTTGAATAGAAAGACCTATGTACACAGTATGTTTATTGTTCCACAGACTAAGTCACAAATTAAATCTGCACCTCTTGTTTCCACGACTAACTATAAGCCATAACTCATCCTGATGCAGTCGTGATACTTGTCTGCAGATTCATAAACATCAGCAACAACAAGAAATGTGCAATATCTTGTCTACTGTTAATGTGTCATTAGTTCACACTCCTTTACCCGCATTTAATAACACAACTTCTTAGTAACTACCGCACTTAGTGGTTTGCACCTTGTGTAGCGTAGTGTCTGGATTAGTGTCTTGTGAACCACTCATTTCACCACTATAGTAATGACTTTACATGTTTGAACGAATGAGACATATTATAGTGACTAAATCCAAACAACTAAACTCAGACACATTTGGTGGATTTAGCTGTCTTATAAAGAAGGAATATCCGTAAATAAATGTCCAGCCACAGCTATATTTACTCATAAATGACACCTTTCCAGCTGGTGAGGAGCTAACGTTAACCGTGGCTGTCTCGTGCCGTTAAAAGCAGTAACGTATAAACAGCATCAACACACAGTTAGCTTCATACTTAAGTTTTACAACACTATTTAAACGATAGATAGGTTTGTGGGAATATCAGGTATTTTGTTTTCTAGGCTCAACACTGTGGAAATGCATTAATAAATACATAAGTGATGTGTTAACTCACCTCCACACCGAACGCCCCGCAGCCTTTAATGAACTCGGTAATGTTCTTCTGACGCTCGCTGTCGCTCCTCGGCTCCTGGAAAAACTACACACAAAAATCGAGAAATTAGCTTCAAATACTGACTCGGAATATTAATAAAGTGTTCATGAAGACATTTCAGATTTTTACGCATGAATACAGGTTTACGCCAGACGCTGCTGGTGCACTTGCTACTTACCGCTCACCATCAACAAGCTAGCTGAAGTAATAAGCCAAACTTCCGGCTTCAACTTTCAAAATAAAGCATCAATGAAAAGACTATATTTTGTGTTTGAAATTGGTCTTTGGGTTGAAAAAAATCCCCATTATTCTATCGCAGTCAGAAGTTAGACACCTAGCTGTTGTAGTCTAGCAGTTTTTATTTTATTTTTTTTAAGTTATTTATGATCCACCATTTTAGATTTTAAATCGTTTTTTACTTGCCTATATTAGTTTTCATAATTACTGCTGAAAACGCATGTAGAAATTATATATTTGTATAACTTGAAAAGAAGGCTCTAAAAAAGTAGACTAGCGGTGGCAAAGCTAGAGGAGGTAACATAAAGTGTAGCAGGTGAGCCACCGCAACTGATGCTATATCTTTATTTTGAAAGCAGCCTTGCCTCGCTCTGTGTTGTGTTGTAGCTTTGACACAGATATACAATATCCATGGGAAGTTGGATAAGCCAGAGGAGGATATGACGCTGACAGGTTCATGCAATATAACAGTATTACAGTATTAGCACCATTTGCTACTACAAACCAAACGAGCCCACCAGGCACACACCTAGGGGCCCAAGAGGGCAGGGTTCTGCAGAGCCTGTGTATGAAGTGGGTGTTAAGTGAGTGTTATTTCTTGTCTAAAAGTCATAAAAACCCAATTCAGTTCAATTTTATTATTAACTTGGTTAAACCACTACAAATAGATGCAAACCACAATCAGACTGAAAATGACCACACAGTGAAACAAAACAACTACAAGCAGATGAAAAAATTACTATAGAGACACAAAAGGACTGCAAAAGACACAGAACTACCAAAACTACCGTAAAGAGACACAAACCATTACAGACGGACACAAAATTGCTACAGAGACAGAAATGATCATAAAGAAATGTTTCAACTACAATAGAAAGGCACTTGAGTAGCAAAGCAAAAACATCTTTCAGAATTTTCTTATGAGAGAATTGTTTTAAATAGGCTAGTCCAGACCCTTTGCCCACTTTTTTGAGGAACTCCAAATTGTTTTGGATGATGTCTTGCTTTATTTAGCCTGTTTATAGAGACTACTTCTGTATCATTTGTGTTTTATGCAAAGCTGCGTGTATCTCTTATTGGCTGTTTTTAGTCTTAGGCCTTGTATTTTTCTTTCGTAGTGCTCTTGTCCCTCCATCCACTTACTTTGTCCACCGTCCCGGGTCTGAGCCGCTCCAGCAGCCTGCACAGCACCACTCCATCCTGCAAAGACGCCTGGAGGAAAGCCTCTGGATCCGAGACACTCTTTTTGGGAGACTCCAAGACCCCCAGCGTTATGAGCCACGTTACCGTCTGTTCGGCCGAATTCATTCCCAGATCTCTAATGCTCTAAACAATAACAGCAGCACTCTTCAGTGTTTGCGCTCTCCTACTTATGTTCCGTCCAAAATGAGGCAGGAGGCTCAGCCCCGCCTTGTGTGAACATTGCGCTCAGCGCGCAGTGGCTTAGATCCCACAAGCCGTTATTCCAGCACGCAAAAAAAAAAAACCTGGGGTGGAAATGAGACGTACGGGTAGTTCCTTCCTTCCTTTGACAGCCTCGTATTGTCCCAGACCCCTCTCCGTCTCTGAGCGGATGTTGGCATCACCTTTGCTTGTGCACAACTGTAGCAGCACTAGTCAAAGATGATATTGTAAGACACAACTTCCGTTGACAGCTTTCAAATTAGAAGTCTACTTTCCGAGCGAATGGAATTCTTTGCAAAATAAACGATTGAGCTGAAATAATAGTCATGCTTTTGAATGCAGCCCCTTTGCTTCCGTTTTAAGCCTCTCTATCTCTGAGGCTCTTAACGCTCCTGAAAGCAGCACCTCACAGGACCATCCCATTGATGACTAACGGCCTAATTAAACAGAGGATGCTGGCTCTCATCTGGTAATGTCAGAGAATGAAGAAGCCTATTAAATTCCCAGATGGCTACAAATTAAATGTATTTCTCAACCCGGCATTTTCCAGTAATGGTCATTCAGTTTATGCACACAGTTATGTAGCACTCAATATAATTTGTTTATATTTAGTCTCAATATTCTTTAATTAAAGTCTTGCGTTTTATTGCTGCAACAGTGCGAATGACGACACTGTAATTGAGGGACGCGTATACAGCTATAGTAGGTCTACAGGCTAAAATAGACCTAAGCTATATAGATATAAGGCAGTATTTTTAGAATTAAAACAAGTGTCGATATGAATAGTTACGACTTAAATGGTGACTCATAATTTAAAAAATGAAGTCGAAGAAAGAAAATCGATTTCTTCCTGTGGCTGAAAGCCGTTTATCACGGAATCAAACTGGGCTGCATCGCCCTCTGCTGGACATTTACGTTTCTGACAGAATTTTATTCAGAATCAACACTGAAAAGTACTGGATGAAAAATATTAATACGGAATAATAAAATAATAAAGCAGGTAATCTGGTAACTTTTGGTCACCAGATTCACAATAAACCACATACAAAACTGATATAACATTACTGTCACCTGAATATACCCAAATGTTAGGCTTTAATTTAATTTTATGAGCTGTTCAGTGTTGTGTATACTTTACAGCTCATATAACCTAATTTTATAACTTCATGCCTGCTCTCTTTATAGAACATTGACCCATACTTTTACATACAAACTGCAAGTTCACATATTTATGCTGAAATGCATTCTGATTTGTGTGCATATTTCCAACTCTATTACAACAGAATGCAAACTTTAGGAGACCCTGCAAGATGTAGCAGATTACTGATGGTAACCACATGGAGCCTACACTTTTGTGTGCAAGACAGACTGAGCAACCGCATCTGTAGTCAGTTTGTGTCTTCTTGTAGTTGCTTTATGTCTGTTTGTAACAATTGTGTTACTTTTTACTCACTTTTCATATCTTTTTAGTCATTTTGCTCATATTTTTAACTTGTTTTGTCTTTTTATTGTTTTGCAAATCTTTGTATTTGTTTTATTTATTTTTGCAGTTTAGCGCATTCTTTTAGTGGTTTTGCCATATTTGGAGTCTTTTAGGCTCTTTTTGTCTTCATTTGGGCTGCTGTTCATGAAAACAGGATCTGTGGAGTTTCATGATTAGAAACAGTCTCGGTACTAGTTTTCTATTCTACTTTACTGGAAATGTATTTTAAATAACAAAATATTTAAATGCTTAACATTTAATGCTTAAACATTTGGAGGATTGCTTCATAAACTGAAGTGTGTTAGGTTGTGCTGTGAAAATCTCATGCTCTTTGCATACAGGATGTCACACTGAGTAGTCATCTGAGATATGGTGTCAGTGTAATGTGTGACCTTTTTTAGAAAACAGGTGCTAAGAGCTGGTTCACAATATTATTTATGTTCTTTCTTGCTGTCATTAAAAGCTTGTGTAAACCTCTAAAGCAGGGCTCGGCAAGTTGGCGTGGCCTCGGGGCATTTTTCCTACGTCATCAGATGGCGGGCCATCAATATATTATATCAATATATTTAGCAGTTTAAGGGTAATATATATACATAAAAATATAAGCATTGTGCTGACTTGTAAAAGTAAATGAATAAACTAATAAAATAATTATATAAATAAAGAAATATTATTCCCGCCCTCTCGTCTGCAATGTTGTTTACTCACCAACCTAATTGCTGTGATATTTGGATGCACTGCTACACAGAAAAACTTGCAGGATGCCCTGCGCATTAAAATGACATCTCTAACACCAGACATACAGAAAATGGTGAAAGAAGGGAAATACCAGTTTTCCCAATGAGTCTTTCAAATGTTGTAGTTATCGATCCGTTTTTCTAGTGCTCATATTGGCTGTTCTGTGTTTCTGTCTTTTAGGATCACGTTGAATCCCCCTTCAAAAGTCCTCCAGATGAAGCAGTGCTCACTGTTCATAAAAACAAATGCATAATAATAATAATTAAGTTGTTATAATAATAAAGAAAGTGTCTGAATATGTCCTTTATTTAATTTATATGCTCAGCATCATGGATGTGAGTGCAGCAGTGACACAACACAGAGTGGTTCTGTCAGGCAAGCTGCAGCACAGTGCGGGAGAGGAGGGGAGGGGTTACAGAGCGACTCACAGTGAACCTTTGAAAGTGTCAAATTGAACTCAAATTAATAGTCATAAAATAACATAAAAAAGGATTGGACGCTGTTCGTGTGACTCAGACTCATTCTATATAAATATAACGTTTCAAAATTCATCCGGCGGGCCAAAAATATTTCAGGGCGGGCCAGAATTGGCCCGCGGGCCGGACGTTGCCGACCCCTGATCTAAAGCTTATAATGATGGTGCTTCTACATCTGACACATGAGCCCACAAAAGAATCTAATGTTGAAAACCAGGTTGAATGCTTTAGTACATTCCTGATGGTTAGCAAGACTCAAAGCTACTGTACTGACTTCTAGACAATGTCTTTAATTCTAGACTTGCACTGATTAGACATACAAATGGATGAGTGGAAAATCAGGTCATGGTTTCTGTTGTCAATATATTCTCCCATAGACACGACCCAAATCTCTCCCACACATGCTCAAAGATAGCAGATGACTTTCATAGTTGTGAAGGTCTTCGGTGGTGAAATCTGAAACCAGATGGCCAAATAAATTTTCATCACCAGCATTATGTACCCCCACATTGACCTCAGAACAGGTTCAGTTAACACAATGCTAGTCTGAGCAAGTGAAAAGAAATTGGTTTCTGCAGCTTTACACAGAAGATCTTATCGAAGAGGAACCAGTTTCTTAAGAATAACAACCCAGTAGTACCTCAATTATAAACTTAGAAAGTGCACAATAATGCTCCAGTAATTATAATTCAATAATATAATGTGTTGTTCTGCATAATAAGAGCTTTTACTTTCAATACTTTAAGTATGTTTTCATGCTAATACTTCTGTGTATTGACTTAAGTAACCAAAGTATTCTGTGAAATGAAGGTCTGACAGTGATGCTTGATGAAATCAATTAGATTTTATGCTGTGGGGACATAGACATCTTTACCAAATTTCATAGCAATGCATCCAATAGCTAAACAGACATTTGATTCATAGTTAAGAATGTCACTGTCATGGTGAACTTACAGGATCACTAAAGACAGTAGGTACCATGTCTATGCAAAATTCATAGCAGTCCATTCAGAAGTTGTCAAAATATTTAATTCTCCACCAACAAGCCAAAATTTCCATCCCTAGAGCTGTGTAGATGCCATTTAAAAAACTCTTTATGCTAATAGTGGAAATTTCCTGGCCCTGTCTGCTTGTTCATTTACATTTTTTAAAACTGTATTTATAAAAATCCCCATTTTCACCTGTGCTGCGCATTTGCTCATCAGAACCTTTAGCAAGGGAACTCGGTACAGTGTAGGCCATGCCATTTTTGTGCAGTGTGGGTAGGTTGCAGTTTGGTGCTGGACTGTGCCATTGCATATGAGGCAGGGGGTGGCATGGCAGTTTCATGAGTTTGTCAGTTTTTCTCTTCAACTTCCTTATTTGTCTGTAAGTGCTGCTTCCTCTTTCACTGACTGGTGTGTTCTTCTTCAGGGCACAGCGCCGAATAGGTCTGCTATTAATCTGCCAGAGAAGAACAAAGATACTACTCTACACTTTACACAGTAATGTGAATGCAGTCTGATTCTGGCATTGACTTGTCTTCAATGTTAACGACAGACCGAGAACATTTCTGGTGCCTAGTCGTGGAGCTTGTGCAAAACCGGTGAGTACAAAGAGGTTGAAATGTTTATTGACATATGAACGTTCTTGAAGTCCAGCAGCACTGTGACTGTTGTGTCCAACTTCTGTCTGTCTCCAGCACTGATGTACCCCTTCATCTAAGTGTTTAATGTGACTGTGCCTGAGGGAAGGAGACAGAAAGTGAAATGTGTGTGTCGGCATGACAGCGATGTATGTCTAGTAGCATACAGTGTGTCTGGGTGTGTGTGTGTGTGTGTTGAGTGTGTGTGTGATGTCAGGAGACACCAGCACCCTGTCCTGGAGGAGCGTGTCTCCCACCAGCCAGTCAGTTTCCTCGGATATGTCTCCCACAGCAACCATCACCAGGGACAGTGTCTTCCCAGTGAAGATCATCAAAGTGTGTTTCCTTAACAATAGCTCCAACCTGGGCAAGAACTTCAAACTGGTCCGTTGTGAGGAGGGCTGGACCATCAGGGTATAGTCTACTGTACTCTATTGTTTATTCTACTGTGTGCTACTCTACTTTACTCTACTATTTATTCTGTCATGTGCTACTGTACTCCAGTAGCACTGTATTCTACTTCCTACTATATTCTATTGTACGCTACTTTACTGTAAACTTAAACTTTATGTTACTGTACTTTCCTATTTACTTTAGTGTAACTCTGCTGGGTGCTACTATATTTCATAGCTCTCTACTATTTCATCTATTGCACTGTATGCTATTATTCTCTACTCTTCTTTTATTGTACTCTACAATACTGTACCTTACTGTACAATAATGCACGGCATTCTAAGAAGTTAGCTTTAGATTGTAGATATGAGAATCTACAAGATAAAAAAGATCATACTTGTACAGATGTTGTTTTAAAAATGGTTTGTTAGGTACATGAGGCTTTAGTGATCTGTTTCCTCATTATCAACATGTTTTGTTGCAAACCTACAGTGACTGTCAGCTGCTTTTACAGTGTCACATTTAGATTTTTAAATCCCAGAGACATTCCTGTGTAATTATTTCTATGCCAGGCTATCATCAATGTGGTGCTGTCCAGCGGCTGTGTGGGTCCAGATATTAAACACAACCTCTCCTACGGCCTCCTCCTCAAACACCTCAAGTCCTCAGAGATACACTGGCTGCACCCAGACCTGACAGTGTCTGAACTCACTCAGCGCTATGAGCAACAGCACCTGGAGGCCGAGTGGAGGTCAGCATCTCTGTCTCATCTCTGGCTGGTTGAGAAGGCTACAGCTCTAAGATCATTTGAAACTAGTTAAATAAAGTAATACTGAATAAAGGCTTAACCTAAAAGTTGTAATACAGAAACACTGGACTGGGAATCCAATATCCCTGAAAAGCTAGCTGAAATGCTTTTGTGATGTCCCCTAAATGAAATGTGCATGACTAAGCTATATGTTTGTCCAGATATGACCTGAGGATCAGATACATCCCATTAGACTTCATGGAGAAATTCAAAGATGACAGAACCACTATGCTCTACTTCTACCAGCAGGTCAGTTGTGCTGTTATTTGAAATGGTTTTCTCCACTTATGCTTCATTGGATGGTTGTTTATAAGCTAATTTTACATTTTGCATGTGTAGCTCACCTTCTGTCCTCTGAATAAAATCCTCAGGTTTGTGTTAAGCTTAGCATTTAGAAACAACTGGAACTGTATCACTATCTAATTTTACCTATAATGAGTACCAAGCTATATGGGTCCTTCCAGGAAACCTCTTAGGAGATCATTTAGAAATAAACTTGAATTTTCAGACTTGGAAAAGAAAGTGTTACCCATGTTTGTTTTGTATGCATATCCTTGAAAATTATTTTGAGTTTTAGATTTTGGGAATGAGGCCATTTTACAGTATGCCCTCTAAGGACTCGGTGTAGAATCAGGAATAAGGTTAGTTAGGGGTCAGTGTTTGTAAGGCTCTAGTTAACAGAGAGTTTATCCACAGGTACGAATCGACTATATGCAGCTGTTTGCATCAAAAGTCAGCGATGGCATGGCTCTACAACTGGGTTGTCTGGAAATAAGGTAATGTACATCTACAGCCTCATGCACATGTCTTAAGTCCATCGCTGCTCCAGATCTAAGGAGGACAGCCGCTGTACAAAGTCTCATATTCTTTATGAAACATCGAAAGCTGTTGGTTCACACATTTCTAAAATGTATATTTACTGTACTTTGCAGGAGATTCTGCAAAGACATGAATCCAAATGGACTAGAGAAAAAGTCCAACTTTGAACTTCTAGAGTAAGTTGAGTCTTACTGTTGTATGTGGGCTTCACCTTTCTCCTCCAATTGAGTTTGCGCCAGGCCTTTTGTGCCCATGTGTTACATGCACTGTCATCCAAGTTTGGTTTCAACTCATCCTCAAACAAGTGACACCCTGCAGTGCACCTATCTGACCAGCTATCTAACCATCTAACCAGGTGTCTGACTGATAAATGAAGAGTGAAATGACACGATGCAGTCTGCGGTTAGCATACTATCTAACCAGGTGTCGCTGGATCCTAGTACTCACAGCGATACAGCTGAATACCCCTGCCATAGCTGGTTCATATCCATGAGAGAGATTAGAAATGTTGCTTTGCAGAAAGAAGTTTGTCCTCTCTGTGTCTGCATATCAGGCTCCATGTGTGTGTTTTGTGATGCTGGTCTGACTTCCCTCTCTAGGAAGGACGTGGGGCTGGACTTGTTCTTTCCCAGAGAGCTGATTAATAGCATGAAGGTAGGGAGTTACCTGGTTTGAATGTCTTAAACCTGTAGCAATCTGCATGCTGAAGTCACATAATGTGATGAAATTAGTTTGTTTGAATTTCTATTGACTGCTGTTTGTATTCAATGTGTGTGGATCAGCTCAAGCAGCTGCGTCGGTTGATCCAGCAGACGTTTCAGGGCTACTCGACTCTGAAGCAGGACGAGTGCATGGCCAAGTTCTTCAGCACTCTGGCTCAGTGCCACAGCTACACACAGGAGCGTTTCACCTGCCAGCTGGTGGTGAGGTTTCACTTGGGTTTAGAGAATGTTTTCACAACTTCTTACTACAAGTTTTAAAGAATGAAACCATCCTCTGTTTAGCTGTATGTGTCATTACCGTGTGTGTATTTTTAGGTGTAATTTTGAGCGATACCTCAGGTAAAGCAAATATTGGCCTCGTATATATCTTATTATTGTGTGTGTTTCCTGTGTCTATAGCACGGCTGGAGTTTAACAATAGACTTAGTCATCGGCCCTGAAGGCATCAGTCAGCAAACCGAGAACTCAACAGTGAGCTTGAACTCTCTCCGTCTCAGCTTTTGTTAACTGCTTCTCGATATTGATGGTTGATTTATTTCATACCACATGATTATTGATTCCTGTTTGATTTCTCCTCCTTGTTCACAGCCCGTTTGTCTGGCCACATTTGCTCAGGTGCGCAGCATCTCCTGCTCTGCAGATAGTGATGGTCGGACTCTGCTCACTGTGCACATAGAGGGAGCGAAACAGGTAAGTTATTGACCTTTGGACAGGGGCAAGTTAAAAAGAGCACTGACCTCTGGTGTACTCTGTTAGAAGAGGCAGTTACAGTTAAGCCGCAAAGCTTTTCAAGCAGACTAAATTTCTTGTATGTTCAACCCTCCAGCCTCTGTCAGTGCAGACTTCCTCCCCGGCTGTAGCAGAGAACATGGCCAACCTGATTGACGGCTACTGTCGACTGGATGGCAGCTCTGAGAGCTCGCTCATTGTCAGGCCCAGCAAAAGTACAATAATGACAATAATGTATCGAGATGCAATAAGGATGTTCTTTGAGATGAGTTAAATTATAATGAAACAATGCACTGGAACAATCTCACCCTTTGACATTTTTAATCAGAGTTGAGTCATTTCTTTTAACAACCTAGGTTTTGCTTCTCTACTTTGGGTCTTATTTTTCATGAATTTTAATGGCATTACTCACCAAATCCACAGCAGCATTCACTTTCTGTTTCACTTCAATTAACTGGTTTTAAAAATAACATTGTGTAGAACTTATTTAAAGCTGTCACACTCTTAGACTGTGTAGCAATGCATCCAAATATCACAGCAATTAGGTTGGTGAGTAAAATGTACCTGAAAAGAATAATGCCCAGATGTAGCAAAATATGGCCATGTGTAAAACCCTAATATTTACATTTATTATTCTGCATTGACAGCTACAGCTAAACCATGTGTCTGGTTCTTACAGGAAGAGACTCAAGGCTGAAACTGCCTGACATCCCAAAACAGTGAGTGAGATGAATCACAGTGGAAAGTGATGCTAGGGTTGACACACTCTGACTTGTTTCCATCATGGAGATAAGTTGGTGGAAGCATTTCATGTGTAGATGTTGCTTATTAGCATTTTTTTTTGTCTTCCTCCTCCTCCTTTATGTTGCAGTCATTTTTTCAAAGGTTTCTCTCTCAGCTTGACCAAAAAGCCACAGACATTTAAGCACTGCTGCACAAACATGCTCATTTATAGCTGAAACGTCACTGACTGATTGTTTTAAAGAAGAAATTCTAAGTAAAAATGTCTCTTACTCTCTTTCAGTGGTGGCTCCTGTGGTCCTGGCAGAGGTTTGAATATGTACAATGACTGATTTACAAATTTAACAGATACATGATTAAATTAGTTATTGTTCTCTTTACCTCCCTATTGTTGAATTTTTAATCTGCTCTGCTTACATTAAGAAAAAATGTACATGCAATAACCAAAAATGATTTGTTTTCTGGAGGCCTTTTTTGTTTGGCTGTGGCCTTACACAAAACCACTGTTAAACCCACAAGTTCAACATTTTTCTTTAACTTCAGGTTCTGATATTTATGCTGAAATAAAAGAAAACACAAAAGACTCAAGTGGTGAGTAGTGTTTCACTGATTTATCAAAATCAGTTCTTAAGAACCCATCTTTACCATGAAATCCCCTCATAATACATCACTACAGAGGTCCCAAAATAAGGAGTCAGTTAAGACATGTTTGTGTTTAGATGGCAGACAAAGCTGAGGCCCACTTTGCTCCCACTGAACTGGAGCAAATATCTGAGCTTCTTTTCTAAATTTCCTTCATAAGCTTTAACATGTAAGTGACTGGTGATGTAAATAGAAGGTCTTTGTCACTATACTGGGTCCACACTACAGTGCCTGAATGCAGCACATTCATATCAAAATGAGTCGAGGTGTTCGAGGTGTTTCTTAATGTCTGTGTCCAGAAAAGCACAGGATTTCAAGAGATGATGTCATTGTGGGTCGAATCCTGGGCGAGGGGTTCTTTGGAGAGGTTCATGATGGCGTCTATAAAAGCCCAGTGAGTTTTCATCTATTGTTTCAGCATAAGTCACTCCCAAAATCACACTAAGCATCAAACAAAATCTATAGGTCAAATCAGCTGTAATGTGCTAAAAGTATATAAAAATCTGTTGCATGCCTGTGTGTGTCTGCAGACAGGAGAAAGGATCCGTGTAGCTATCAAAACATGTAAGGACTGTTCAGATGATGTGATGGAGAAGTTTCTCAGTGAAGCTGGTGAGTATGTGGCCCCTGCAGTGATTATTTCCATTTTACAGTGCATGTCTCAGTCACACATTCAGCACTCTGGGTTCATGTGGAGACCTATGATGCAACCACAACAGAAAATGTAAAACTTTTCCTTATATGTAAAATTACAGAATTTTATTTATATGAAAATAATAATGATGATTGCTTTAATCACAGTAAACAAACACAGAAACAAGTCAACTGAAAGTGTAATGAGAGAAGAGTGAATATCTGAGCTGGAACATTTCAGGCTTCTGCATGTGCTTTTGTCAGAACATTGCTGTAGTCAACTTCCTGTTGCTGGTTGTGGCTTTGTGACAAAGTAAGACTGGAGGCTGCAGCAGCCTCACGAGAGATCTTACCTGAGCTGAGTGAGAAATTTGCCTGGAGACATAGAGCGTGAGCCACAACAGAGGAAAGGCTGTGGGATGTATTTGGTTCACTGAATGTCTTTATACATTTTGTGGCACTCGGATTATTATTTCAGTTACATTTCACACATTCAGCACTGACCACGGCAGCCATAGGTGAAAAATGATTAAGACCAAGAATGTGATGTTTCTTGCTATAAGACAGTACTTTCACATTATGAACTGATAAATCAATATACTATACAAATACAGACAGGCCACAGTGTTAACTTGGAAACAGAACATGGAAAAAAAACAGCAATTACGCAAGCTCTGCTACACAAAAGACAGTGGTTAGATTCTTTTTTCGGATGATGGTTTTAAAGTGATGTTAAACCAAAAGCTCAGGGCTGCCTGGTGTGGTTTCCTATCTCCTGTCAAGCCAAAATGCTGCTCATCACTTCCTTTCTTAATTCTGTCAGTCTTTCTCTGGTAATAATAAATCCTGAAATTGTGCTACTGTATTGATCAAAGGTGTATTTCTCTGTCTATTGCAGACTTAATGAAAAATCTGGATCATCCCCACATCGTGCGTCTAATCGGAGTCATTGAAGTCCACCCTGTCTGGATCGTCATGGAGCTCCTTGAACATGGAGAGGTGTGTGTTTTTGTGTTTGTACACGTGTTTCAGAATAGGTCACCTGCCTTTGTATTAATCATGAAATTGTAAAACCATAAAGTAAAATCTGATGCTCATTATCAGCGTGATCATCTATCACATCTCTTCAGAAAATCCAGGCTGTATTTATACAATATGTTAATGTTCCTTCCTCACCTTAAATTCAACAGACAACAAGTTCAAGGTTTCAAGAAAGTTCACCTAAGAAACTGGTCTGAAGTGATTCAATTTTAACTAGATAAATAGCGTATGAAGTAATTACCCAGCTATGTCTCGCAGTACCTTCAGGAACAGTGTAACTGCAAGCTGTACTGTATCTTGTTTAAGTAAGTGGTTTTTGCTCCCATGACAGCTGGGGAACTATCTGGTGAAAGAACAGTACATCCTGACCATTGCAACATTAACCCTGTACTGTGTTCAACTCTGCAAAGCCTTGGCTTACCTGGAGGGGCTCAACATGGTGCACAGGTAACATGGCCTCATGTATTTGTTAGATTCTTGTGCCTTTAATGCAACATTACAGCAGTGGAAAATTAAAGGTTCCCAGTGTTTTATTTAGATGTGTTCAGTTTTTTTAGAACTCTGTCCTCTCTTTGTCCCCTCTGTGCGCTGTAGAGATATCGCAGTGAGAAATGTCTTGGTGGCATCTCCTGAATGTGTCAAACTTGGTGATTTTGGCCTGTCTCGCTACATTGATGAACAAGAGTATTATAAAGGTACACACACATACACTTGCACAGAAACGTCTGTGGGCAACATTTCAGAGAATCGCAGTGCAGAGGAATCGTGATGTCCCGACTTTATTTGGTCCATTTCTCTTGTATGTGCAGCCTCCGTCAGTCGATTGCCTATCAAATGGATGGCACCTGAATCCATCAACTTCAGACGCTTCACCACAGCCAGTGACGTCTGGATGTTTGGTGAGAAATACATGTACATCTTATTGTGTTTTTTCTTCTGTCTGAACACAAATATATAAGCTTATACACAATCAAATTTACATCTAATATTTTAATTGAATTTGTATTTTAATGCTTTATCTATGTGTGTGCAGTGTTAAGTACTTTGAATTGCCTTTGTGTAAGAAAATGTATTATTATAGACATAAACATGCCTTGCCTACAACAGATACAACTGTGTATGCAATGAGATATCATTCATGACTCTAACTTTAGCTATAGCCTGTGTGAATGCTTTGTGAAATGTGTGGTTTTCACTGACACAATGTCAGAGCGCTGTAGGCTGTGGTGGCTTGCATTCAATATAAAATGTGTTTCTAATATTTTGTTGCTTGTGCTAAATTGGAAACTAATGAAGGATCATTGTGTGGGTGCTGTAAAGCATCCACACTATGTTCTCCTGATTATTCTGGGATCTTCCGTTCGTTTTTTGGCATTTTATAAGTTCAGCATACATTCAGCTATACAGGCCATTCTGGTATCTAACTGTTTAACTCTTCAAGGACATTCCTACTTGTATT